AAAAACGTAACATCATTGACCGGCTATAAAGTCTATTAGAAAAATATGAATACTATAGAATTGCATTCATACGAGAAAGTTATGACGAAAAAAACCTTAAAACAAACCTCATACATAAGGATGAAATACTGAAATATTTTCCCCTGAAATAGGAAAGGATACACATAGAACCTTTACTGTACCTTCTATTCAATGTTGGAAATAAAACCCTAATCTGTAAGAATAAGTCAAGAAAGAAAGCAATTGCATCAGGAGAGAAGACATAATGTGTAATGATTTATAGATGCAGTAGATATTTATATTAAAAAATCCAGAAGAATACGTATTTGAAACGACAGAATTAATACATAAAATCAGAGAAGCCATTAGAAATAAGCTGAAACTTGAAACCTCAACTGTATTTCTGTTCACAGCAGCAAAAATTATTAAAACTTTTTTAAAAGATGCTATTTACAAAAGCATGACTATGAAATACCCATATTTCTATAAGACTTCAATATTGAAAAATACAAAACACAATAGAGAGAAATTAAAGCAAACTTAATTCATGGAAGGATAAAGTATACTATTGATTAGAAGAGTCAATATGATAAAGATGACCATCTTTACAAATTACTTTAAAAAGTAAATGCTGTCCCAAACGTAATTCCAGGAGCTTTTTTTATAAACAGCTTTATTGAGGTGTAATTTACATAGCATAAAATCCATCCATTTAAAGTGTATAAATCAATGATTTTAAATATATTTACAGTTTACAACAATCACCACTATCAAAATCTAGAAAGTATTCGTTAACCACAAAAAGAAACACTTCACCCATTAATAGTCATTTCCTTTATCTCACCTCCCTTTAGCCTTGGCAACCACTAATCTACTTTCTATCTCCATGTTTGCCTGTTTTTCATATTTCATGCAAATGAGCTCATAGAACAAATGATCTTTTAGAAAGGTTGAATGCCATAAACATATTGTTGAGCAAAAAAAAGCCAAACATAAAAGTAATGATAGCTGTACTTTTTGGAGTGTATATAATATTTCAATACTTTTTGAACAGTGTTTCATTATGAGAACAAATCATGTAACTCCTTTTAAAATTTATGCAAACATAATATTATTTCCATTTCATGAAAGATACAGTTACCCAGCAAAATCCTAACTCACATGTC